TTAATAATTATACATTTAATTATAAATCATTATGAATATGATAAATATACACTTTTATAAATATACAGTACATTATTAAATTATATTATATTACATTATTAAAATATATTATTAAATAAAATATTATTTTCTCACAATTGCAAATGCATCTCTTAATTGCTTTAATAATATGTTATCGAATATTAAGCATTAAATGTTATATAATATGTATTATTATGTCATTATATAATATTTATTATTTATTTATTTATTTTATATTTCACAGTGTGACTATTTCTTATTTTGAACTTTCTCACAATTAGTTTTATTTTTACTCTAAGGTGAAAATGGGCTTCCATACTTAATACCAGGTGGTACACTGGGAGTTTAAGATATCTCTCATAATTTTGAATGAAAAGTCACATATTTCCTCAAAGCAAGCAATAAAAATATGCATGTAATATGTAAAAAAAAAATTAAAATAGAAACTCTCTAACTGCAAAATGTACATGCAAATAATTATTATATCTGTCATTTTTGCAGATATAACATTCTGACATAACAGACAGTTCACTTTTTTTCTTTTGATGCTAAGCAGTTGGAATAAACAGCATGTATCAGTCAAGGTCATCTCTTTTTCTCTTTTGTTATGTCAAGCTGTGCCTCTTCTTCACAGTGACAGTAATGTGACACTGTGGTAGCAAATCAATTTTAACAAGCTTAAAGTCTTTAAAGCAAAACCTTCAAGAGCCAAGAACAAACAGACAACACAAAAAACATGTCAGCTACTGAGGTCTAAATGAACTGCTGGCTTTGCCCGCTCATCAGTCTCGACAGCTTTTCCATACGTTATATGTTTCGTACTTACCTCATTTTCACTCGTTCCGTTTACTGTATCAACAAGCCATTAGTTACAGGACACTATAGTGAAATTGACCAGTGAATTCAGGATGTCTGAAGAAGAAAACTGGTCTACTGGTCTGTTTGAGATATCTGGACAGCCTGTGTCTGTATATATCTACGTGTGTGTGAATCTTGTTGTCAGCCTGCAGAGATGCATTGTGATGAGTACTACTAATGTCTCACAATGAAAGAAGTGTGAAAGAGTGCTAATAGCAGCTTCCTCGCACACATGCAGGGTGTCAGTCAACACTACTGCTGCATGCTGCTCTGTAGAGATTCCCTGTGTCTCTTTCTTTCATTCTTATGAATGATTTCTATTTCTATTCCTTTGCTCTTTGATCCAAAACCTAGCAAACTGCGTCTCTGTCTACATTTGCAGCAACCGAACCGGACTGTAATGGATCATGATGCTAAGCTAACGGCTTGGTTCTGCTGCGCACTAATGTGTAGTACATACAAAAATGGATGGAATGGTGTAATTTCAATTAGACAGATTTATTATCTTTCAATTTTCAGTGCTGAATAAATTTCTATTTTGTATTGTAACCCAGCTGCCATTAAAATGGGGGACAATATCCCATAGACTTACACTGAAGGCGAGACCCAAGCCGTATTTAGAAGCCGGAATATAGTAAAGACTCTTTGACTTTTGGACACCCTAGCAACCGCATAGCAACAGCCTGACAACCACCTTCATTAACATAATGCAACACTCACATATTTTTAATGTGCTTTTAAAAGCTTTCTTAAATGCTTTATTTAACAGTATTATGTAATATTAAATAAATCAATTAAGTATTTATATGTTAAGTATTATATAATAATTCTAATTTATTTAATAATAATGAACAACATTAATAAATGACTACTATTGTTATTAATATTTACACTATTAATAATAATAATAATAATAAAATATTATTATTATTTTTTTCATTGTAACTGTTTTTAAATCATTATAATATTATTAATAATAATAATAATAATAATAATAACAAAACTCAATATTAATAACAATAAATTAATAAATGATTACTATTCGTTTATTATTATTATTGTTTATTTCTCACATTGTAACTATATTTTTTATATTTCTTCTTATATAATATTATAATATTGAATAAAGCAATTGAGTATTAAGCAATTAATAATAATAATAATAATAATAGTCAATATTAATAATAATAAATAAATTACACATTGTAACTAACTGTTTTAATATTTCTTAAATTATAATAATAATAATTAGAAGTGAATAAATTATTACTATTAGTTATTATTATTATTATTATTCTGTTTTTCTCACATTGTAACTATATTTCTTATTATATAATATAATATTGAATAAATCAATTGAGTATTAAGCAATTAATTATAATTATAATAATAATAGTCAATATTAATAATACATGAATTATTATTATTATTAGTTAATGATAATATTTGCATTCTTATTATTTTTCTCACATTGTAACTTTAATTTTTTATATATCTTATTATATAATAAAGCAATTAGGTAAGTAATAAAATAAAATGTTATATAATAATAATAACCATTTATTAATGGTCAATATTAATGATAATAATCATTTGTTAATAATAATAATAATAATTATTATTATTATTATTTATATGGGCTTCCATTCCACTAACAGCTTACCAGTTGGGTCAAGACGTTGGAGGGTTAGGATATTTAAAAGTTACATGTTTTCTCAAAGCAATCAAAAACAACGCAACTCTCACATATTCTTCTGAAAATTGTGTTAAACAGTCTTCATTCTCATCAGGAGCAGAGATGTTGGGCAGCTCACTGGGTTTTGGAGCAGAGCTTTTATCATGACACTCTTCTTCCAACAAACGTGAATTATTTAAACTCAGTCCCATGACTTAAACAAACACGGTCATTTTCCAGCCCAGCCCAGCCCAGCCCAGCCTGCTGTTGTTTATTCATGTTTGTTCTCTCTGGTTCTCAGCCTGTAGGCACTCCTCCGGGCTCCGCCAAACTGGTGCAGCCATCTGCCGCGTCCCGTCTGCGGCACCTGCAGCAGAGCAGCCTGGAGCGCCGCAGCAGGAAACAGCAGGAGGAACTCCCAAAGCTCCAGCAGGGTCAGCAGCAGGTATTCCACTTCTAACAATAGCCTGCCGACTGACGCTCGCTCTCGCTGACTTTACCTCTGCTCTGCGCTAAAAGGCACGAGTCAGAACTATTGTTAAGTGCAAACTCATCCGTCGACTCCAATGACTGTAACACTTGCAGCCGAGCACGCACTTCCATAGAAGCTGCTACATCTCCCAGTTGCTGCACAGATGTTATGGTTTTCCACTGTGCGATGGAGTTCAGTATGCACAAGTCCTCTGTTTTCCCCGTATACTCACAGATTACGTATTTTTCTCTTCCATGCTACATGAACTCTTCTTCCAGAACAAAACAGCACAATGTAGTGCGTCACAATGCCAGGGAACGACGCCAAAAGACAGTCGCTATATTTCTCTCAATTTGTAGCTTGTTTCTACTCAAGGAGGAAAAAGTTGACATTTAGGCCAAAAATGTATGTTACGCAAGTACACAGATGCGAAAGCAGTGTTCACATACATTATCGTTCAAAATTATGGGGTTGGTTAGCTTTTTAATGTGATTGAAAGTCTCTTTTGCCCACCAAGGCTGCATTTATTTGATCAAAAAAAAAAAAATTGTGAAATATTATTACAAATTAAAATGGCTATTTTCTATTTGAATATATTTAAACATGTAATTTATTCCTGTGATGCAAAGCTGAATTTTCAGCATCTTTACTCCAGTCTTCAGTGTCACATGATCCTTCAGAAATCATTCTAATATGCTGATTTGCTGCTTAAAAACATTTCTGATTATTATCAGTTTAAAACAGTTGCGCTGCTTCATATTTTTTGTGGAAACCATGATTCATTTTTTTTCTTACGGTTCCTTGATGAATAGAAATTCCAAAAGAACAGCATTTATTTAAAATAGATTTTTTTCGTAAAATAGTAAGTGTTTTTAAGGTGACTTTTGATCAATTTAATGCATCCATGCTGAATAAAAGTATTAATTTCTTTAAAAAAAGGGACCCCAAAATATTTAAACTGTAGTGTACTTGCATAGATTATTTTTTAGACCTTAATGTCCTTGAATGTTTCAGAGAGGTTGCTGGCATCTCAGCTAATTGCCAATGAAGTCATAATGACGCCAGCTAATTGGGCAAACTGACATCCCTGTCCTTGTGCCATCTTTGAGTTTTCCTTTCACTCTTTGTCTATAATCTTTAAAGGAACACTCCACTATTTTTGAAAATAGGCTCATTTTCCAACTCCCCTAGAGTTAAACAGTTGAGTTTTACCGTTTTCGAATCCATTCAGCCGATCTCCGGGTCTGGCGGTAGCACTTTTAGCTGTAGCTTAGCATAGATCATTGAATCTGATTAGACCGTTAGCATCTCGCTCAAAAAAGACCAAAGAGTTTCTATATTTTTCCTACTTAAAACTTGACTCTTCTGTAGTTACAAGTGTACTAAGACTGACGGAAAATGAACAGTTGCAATTTTCTTGGCCGATATGGCTAGGAACTATACTCTCAATCCGGCGTAATAATCAAGGAACTTTGCTGCCGTACCATGGGTGCAGCAGGCGCAATGATATTACGCAGCACCTGAAAACAGGCTAACTTCCGTCAACATAACCAACATGACCACCTGCTTGCACAGGGAGCGTGCTGGGGACTATTTGCAGGCGCTGCATAATATCATAACTTTGCTGCCGT